AAGGTAGGGTAATCGTTTGTCCTGACCTGATGCCAAGTGTTGATTTCTTACTGTCTGTCAGTTTATTCGCGTTAACGGTGCTTACAACAGTAGAGGCCGAAACTGCGGCCTCCCGGCTTACCTTTGCAGCAACCTTTGTAAACGTAAGTGTGGTCTCGTGTGGCTTTCTCTCGACAAGTAACATTGAAGCTACAGTTACCGAGGGTTGGTGTTCGACTGCTTTATCCTTGTTAATGCTAGATGTCAGGTCTAGTGGAATTTGCTTAACCAGGCCTTGCAAGTGGTGCCTGAGTTTTGCTGCCGTGAGTACTGGTTGACTCTCGTAGGTAGAGTCAGTTTCTACCCAGGGTTCTGCCAAAGTTGGAGAAGACAACGAAGATGGGGACGTGGCTGCTTGCGAAATTGGTAAAGCAGATTGTGCAGCATTCCGTTGCTTAGAAGCCGCTACGCTTCCCTGGTGCACGCTCGCTTCTATTAAAGTAAACTTATCGTTCATCCTCTGCTCGGCTTCTGCGGTTAACTGGTCGCACTTCTGAACTAGGATAACTAAGCACTTAACGAGTGGGATGGCGAAGCAAGCAGTTCAGGACCAAAGCGCATCTTGTAAGCTATTTCGCTCGCTTACCTATTGTAGAAACAGGTTTACACATTTTGGGTGATGCCATTCCAAACAGTGCGAACAAGCCAAACCGATTTTAACTAATCTGGGACATTCTCTTTACCCCAAATACCTTTTGTTTGGAGCCTTTTCGGATTTGCACTTTTACCATTCAACGTGGTGTCCTTACCAGACCTAAGGGTTTATTTGCGTTCTGTAGTTTTCAGCTTTGGGAGCGGCGCACATCAGTCAGGCGAGTGTTGTGATTGCAAGGTCAAATGAGTGGTCGGCGTGGTCGCATGGTCCGTGTGATGGGTTATGCAGGCGCATTGGCTGACAAGGTCACAAAGAATGGCGAGTGACTGGAACCTGTTAACTGCATCTGAACACAGCGCTGAACACAGATTGAGAGATCACAAATTCTTTCACAGCTGTGTGGAAAAACACTGGATCGGAATAAGCTTAGGCTTTCCGGACTGCCTCTAGTATTCTGTATCGAACGGTGTCACAAAGAGAGGCAATCGACCCAATGTGATTGAGTCAAACACTTGTGCTTAATCACGGGTGACCGTGAAAAGGTTAGTGATGCACGGACTTTAATCGTAGAAGATAATTCCACGTATGCTGGATCACTGTGTAGGGCTAGTAAATCCGTTTCGGATGAGCCTACAGTGACGATGCTGTGAGAAGATTGAGATGCGCCTAAGTCATATGCATATTTCACGTTTGGCAAAGAGTGTGAAAACTAACTTTTATGTTCTGCGCAGGATATATTATGTTGCTACACCCACCGCTTCTTCCTACGGTGGATCCAACATATATCTTAATGCGCAGCATTTTTGTTTAAGCACCATTACTTATTCAATGAGAGTTCATCGCAGCAGCTACCAAAACAGATAGTCCTTCACATTCCCGGAAAAGAAGTAGACTGTATTTTCAACTTGTTGAGCATCATCAGTAGTGCGCATCCATCGGATCCATCAGGATTCAAACCCACGATCACCAGCAGCTTACGCTACTAGGCCACAGGGGAACGAGGCGGACAGACATGGTTTACAAGCTAACTACGACTTGGAGGGTCTTATTTTTCACTGCGATGCAAGTTACCGGTCGCAGAGGACGAGGTTGGCCCTGGAAGACACGAGGTCCATTGACAGTAGCTGTATACGAATCAGCTATTTTGGGTATGTGGAGGACTACCGGCTTTGAAAGGTACCGCACCGAACTCTCAGTTAAGTACACTAAAAATCCGCTACACATAAGTACATCAAAATTTCCGTCCTACCAATTTCTAAGTGCTGCTGTCATTCGACATCGTGTATTTCGGGGACAACCCAGTCCTCCGCAATCTTCGTAACTTTCAGGGCAGTGGAGGATAAGACACGCTATATCGCAGTTTGCTAGTAAATAATGCCGGCCCGCCGCTGTGTCCAGTGGCCTAGTAGCATTAGCTGCTGACGGGCGGTGCAAGCCGCTTGTGGTTATGGCCTCGAATCCTAATGGATCCGATGAATACGCACTATTGAGAATGCCTAAAAGTTAAAACTGCAGTTTAGTGCTTTTTCGAGCATGGGGAGGAGTATCTGATTTGGTAGCTGCTGCTGTGAAATCTCAATCAATCAAACCAAAAGTCTCATACTCATGAGTACAATTACCTATGTATGGATGCTAAGTTCTGATTTATTTTCACGTAAAAGCTTAGGCTCAACTGTGGCTCCGTTCATCGTGTTGTGAAAAATGTTGGGATGTCCATCACTTTTGGCATGACACTAGCCAAATTAATATGAAAAGCAAAGACATTATGTGATATTCCATTCAATTCAATTCAATAAGGAGATTTATGCATCCAGAAGGGTGAATCTTCACTTGCTGATCACACGCCTTCAGCATCATAAAAGGAATAAAACTTAATACAGTGATTACACAACTATATTAATATGTAGCAGAAAATGCTAAATGATGATGATGTGTCAGCTGTACGCCGTAACGGCGCTTCGCTGCCGCGCGACCACCACCAGTCGCGCGCGGGTTGAGTATACCGCGAGGACGCCCACACCTATGCGGATTCGAACCGGTGACCTTATGGTTGCAAAGCAAACGTGCAGACCACTCGGCCACCGGCCGACTGTAGCAGAGAAAGCAAGATGGGTACAGCACAAATATGTTTGTGATCTCCAAAAACTGCATTCAACTCGCTCAAGAGGAGCGCTAAACGTTTGGTTAATGATGAGTGGTAATTCACTATACGAGATTATAAACAGATCCATACTTTTGCCTAGTTGAGGAAGTTGCTACACAGTCAGAGAATGCACCGTGTACAGGGTGACTTGCATCGGTGAGTATTTTCGAAGCAAGCGTTTTGTGTGAATTGGTATGAGTAGACCAGAGAATGGCAACAAAGGCCGGCATTAGAATGCCCCACTACTATATCGAGACAATTGTGTCAATGACCTAACTAGGATTTTTCAGTGTTTCCTTAGGAATACGGAAGATTTATAGATCCAATGCGTTAAAACACAAGCGGTGTTAAATCGCAGCATTAGGTAACATGGGCAGAGGTTGACCGCAAACGGGCAACAAAGAAAGGAAGCCCCCTCACTTTTTTGAAAGCTTTATTCACATAGAGTGACCAAGAAAGGTCACGGCTGAGTGTGACACCCAGGTACCTCACTGACACGGTGGAATGCAACCTTTCACCACTCATAGGAATTTCAGGGCAATCCATAAGAAGTTGTTGATAACCATGTCTTTTAGATATGGAAATAAGGTCATTGTATTTTAATACATTCAGTGTTAATTAGTTAAAGCTGGACCACAATGCAATGCTGACCAGATGGGCTTATAATTTGCTTGATGAGGCTGCAGTCAGATATTAGGTGCCCAAGATCACGTCCTCTGTATATGTTAGCAATATCGCTTCATCAGGGTCAGGTAATAAGACAACGTAAGTGGAATAGTGGTATGGAGACTGTATGGCCCCCTGAAGAACTCCGTCAGCTGTAGTGAGCAACAATGAACCTTCACCCCCAAGTCGAGTAAACTAGGCACGTCCAGAGAAATAGTCCCTCAGCAAGTGGATGGTAGAAGGTTTAATTCCGGCAGCAAATTTGTCTCGGGAAAGAAACTCATGGTTTATACTGCCGAAAGCATTGCTATCGTCTAGAAAATATACTCGGACGAATTTGACCTTGTTGTCTAGTGACGCCGGCAGTGAATATACCAGATGGGCTAGTGCGACTTGAGTAGACCACAAACAAAGAGTAGCAAAGTGGAACAGGTGATATGAATGGATTTGAATCCGCCTCTTTCCAATAATAATATTCTCAGAGACCTTCAACTTTACCAATGCGCTAGCAATTGGACGATAATTATTTGAAAACTTCTTTGGCACTGGTGCAATTCTAGCACTTCCCTTCATGCACAGAGCGTACATGTCAGCAGGAGACTGGACCAGAGAATCAGCACATATATTGAGGACAGTAGAACATAGTCCGTCCGGGCTAATTACTTTGTTGGAATATAGCTGCAGTAGTTTATACTGCACCGTATTTCTGTCATTGACTGACAAAGTGGTTGTGGGGCTGCCCAATCGGGGAAGATGGGTTAGAAGTGGAGTTAGCATTGAAGCAACACAAGTTGTGGTTCAATTCTTCAAGGTACACGTCTGGATTGGAGACTGGGCGGGAGACACCACTAAGCCATTGCAGCATCCACCAGACGCTCCGATAGCGTTCAGACCATCGTTTTACTTTGTGATACATCGGCGAACTTAAAGCACGAAAATGGTCGAACGCCATTTACTCTTCTTTCCTGGGACAGGAGCTCGTCAATACCTAACTTTGTTCAACTGATAAAACTAGTGTTTTTGCTTATGATAAAAGCTACAAGTCCTTAGAACTGCGGTCGCCAAAAGTTAGTTTGGAAGCGAACTAGCAAACGTAACACAACTCCTGCTTATTTTTAAAGTTGGTCAACTCAACCTGTGATAAACCTGGAACAGTTCAGGCTGGAGCACATGCTAAAAATGAACTTAAAGTTCATAAAGCTTATTCTGACTTAACACAACTTTCCGGTCTGCTGGACAACACAGCTAACTGATCCAGGCTGCTGTGGTTAATGATCATGTTGGCATGGGCCAGTGTGTTCAGAATGCTGAACCTAAAACGCCAACTATAAATATGCAAATGTGTATGACAACATCTTTTTGCTCTTCATAAGTGGAAGGGCAGCAGTGCTGTTTGTGCCTGACAAAAATGACTGACTTCCTATCCCAGGCAAGGTATCCGTAGCGAATCATCACCCTTCATATGAACAGAAAGAAAAGTTTGCTGCAGATAACTTGTAAAATAATGCATCACATCGAAAGTGCATGCGCTTTGAGCCACACACAATCGTAACTTACCCAGTTCCTAGAGAATGGCCGTAAAAATATACCGGGCTTGAGCCTTTGTGCTCGTAGACGTATTTCAGAACAGAGATCGAATCCTGTACACAATCCTTCTCTCCTGTCATCCTACCGGATGAATCGCCATAACCTTAGAATAAAGTGTAAAACAATCAGGCGTAATACATTTTACCATGATATTCGGAGCAGATCTGAATACAAACACATACAGCGAATATTTGTTTTAAACATGAGGAATATCATCAGTATGGAATGCTTGCGACAATTCCGCTACAGGTTATATCGGGCGTAGTTCCGGGCAGCAAATCGACTAAAATTAGGCGTTAACCATAATGTCAGAACCAGTTAAATGGAGAGCGAAAAAACCCGGTTAATAAAGGTCTGTGCGGCTTAGGAAGTTTAACCTGGAACATGAAATAATGGTAGACTACAGTATTTAGATTTTTGCATGGAAAGCTTCATCTGGAAATTTCGTAACTGCCGTAGACACAACTTGTTTTAATATAACAGAGTGATGGTGCACAGAATGTCTCAGTTTGTCAGGTGCTTACTGCAAGTTTCCGTGTATTCGGCTGCAATACCCACTATGATAATCTTACCTCCACTAGGATGGTAAAAGCTGCACACACTAGTACAAGAGCCGGGGACGTTTGACGTTGGTAGTATAGACATACGCAGTCCCTCACAGTATGTTTTGTACTCAAATCTGAGGTGGTATGATTGGGAGCATCAAGTGTGTTGGATTGAATATTCCCAATTACTGTGGCGTTTGCAAAAGTGGCCCGATAAGTTACGCAATGGCAAGACCTCGTACTTATGCATATATGTGATGGGCAGACGAATGTCCTCATTGTCATCAACATCTGGACACGATATTTGTGCAGGAAAAATATGTGCTCAATACATGAACAGCATTGGAACCGGAGCACGGAGTTTAGTGGTGTTAAGGGAGTGAAATCGAAAACGTTGTGCTGCGCAGTGGTCCATGCTGGTGGATTTTAATATGAAGTCATTTACCGTTTATCTGCTGTTCGTACCTCTGTAATCAAATGCTATCACATGATAGCCTAGAGAGGAAATTCGCTTGTATGTACTCGTTCTGGTTCTGGCGGATCTTGATCTTTTGTTGCCATGAAAGTAAACGAAAATCGGATGTCCACTATTGAGCTCCGTCATTGAGTAGTTTGACATCCGATCCACCGCGAGATGCTGACAAGGGCCAATATGCCTGTGAAGCCGAGCGAATGTAGATAAGAGAGGAAGAATTGAAGCTTACGGGGAAATGACATCACTACATATTCTCCATTTCATGGAAATTAAATGAAGAACTAAACGGTATATTCTTAGGCGATGCGAGGCACAGTCCTAGTATGCGGTCTGATCAATTAGTTAACATGTTATCGTTCTGCCGTCTTATTTTTCCTTTCTCAAACATCTGGCGTTCGACTTATAATCATGGGTCATTAGTTTGAGACTGTGTAGGCATGGGCGACCTCTCAGTTTCTCCGGCGCGCACGTGACTGTTGGTGGTGATGCAATAGCTAGGCTTCTTGCAGTGTCACCGGAGTACTTTCGAGGCACTTTTCAGTTAAAGTAATTCTAAGGCATTATGCCAACTATGCAAATTCTACCCACATTTACGTAGGGGTACTAAAGTGCTAGCAGCTAGAAAAATATTTTAGCTGCTTCCTGATCAATCGAGCTGATCAAGTATGAATATGTGACGCAGTTTGAGCAGGAGTCTTGGTTGTACCAATTTCGCTTGAAGTACTAAAGGAGATCTTGCATGGAGAATGTCAGGTTTCATTTACGGTACTTACCGTACCGCCAAATCAATGAAATAACTAGGCTCCGTACTCGCTTATTTCTTCATACTGATGATCGAAAAAACCTTTTGACAGATACGGCCCATGTACCCTACTGAGAACGCATGGTTGATAAGATTGTTGGCTTCTTGTCCGTCCGAGCACAAGCGCTTACAGTAAGTAGAGCATAATAACTGAGCACGTGCTCACTTTTGGGATACCTGCAAAGTGAAACAGAAGAGTTTGCTGCAATATCTGGACCTCCGCATGAGCGCAAAGATGGTGGATTAATTAAGATGTCTTTTTACCGAAACTCAACTTGGTCCGGTCAGTAGTTGCACTTCACCAGTCTCACATCTATGCAGTACAAGCGAACACTTGTGTACGCTCTAGGTAAGGCATTGTTACTATGCCATCCTATCCCAAGTTGAGCCATGGATTTGTTTTGGACTCGCTGCAAATGAGGTTTCACAATCGCTTCGGATATCAACTATTCATTAATTGTTTTATTGTTTGTTTTTCGGCGAGCTTCCTTTCCTCTACCTCTGTACACATGGTTATGCCTCTGCGAAATAGTGATGAGGCGATCGCAGCACACACGTGTTCGGATGACCTGACATGTATTGGGACACAACACCTGCGTTTGTAGGTCTACAAAATGCTGTCTTCGGATTGACTTCAAAAAAAGTGACTACACACTTGCTATGATTGAGGGGGACGCCTCCTCAGTTCTAATTGCGTAATTGCCTGATAAGCTTGTCTCTGACACGGTTGGAGCACGCCTACGATGACGACTTGTAACGCTGGCCAATCGAACGGAGTTGCGCTGACCTGATGACGCTAGCTTAGCCGGTGAGCCGGAAAATTGAGCGAGCGTGTGAACCATCCTAGACGCACGTGTTCGGATAGACGCTGAGCCCTCGGAACGGACGCACACGAGAGGGCTTACGATAGACGCGCGCTGACTTAGCCACGAAGGCTGGCCAGCTAACGACTCACACGCAATCACGGAACCCGACCGACTCCCAAGTAAGGCGAAGGCGGTCCTCTGTAGGCTCTTTTACGACCAACAAAGGGCGAATCACAGCCAGTGCTACGGGTCATTAAGTTAGGGCAATTTCTACCACGACGAGGTGGTAGTTTGTAAAAGGCCATTGTCAGAAGGTGCGTACTTGGGCCGCGTCTCGGAGTGGCTGCTCATTGCTACGTTGTGGGGAGGGATTGGACCCCGCTTCCCACAGCCATGCTGCCGGGGTTTGTGGCACGTTTTTGCGGTGATTTTTGACGGGCCCGCAACAACACTCGATGGATGGTAATGTGCCACTGGACAATAGGATTACTATTCTCATTGAGCAAGTTACAATGGCATGACACTGAGGCAAGTTGCACTCCTAGGTCGTCTCTCTATACGTGATGAGTCCAAACAAGGACGAAAACGTCGGTCTTAGAGTGCATATATGGGAGAAAAGGAACCCGCAACGCCCTGTCTCGGATACGGTCTCAGTGGTCCTAATGGTGAAGGCCCATTTCAAGGTCAGCCGTGACCAAAAAGTAGATTGAAGGTCGCAATCCATGAGACACAACGGGTACTCCAAACTCCGATAATCAATAAACATATTTCTTATTCTGTTTTATGATCACAAATATATCGCCCACTTTGCGCCACCAAATGGCTGCTACGTCAAGCACACACTGCTTCACTTGATTAAATGAAACTTTTGTACCGAGAGCGAAACCGCCACCACTTATACTAACTAATTGTTTCCAAACCCATCTGAAGTTTAGTACGGCTTTGTAGTTGCAATATGCATCCAGTTGAGGGTTCCGAAGACTTCCGTTTCCAGGAAGTAAGTGGATAGTAATAGACCGAGGGGGTCGAAATGCAGAAGGTACTTCGTAGGCGGCTGGACAGTTACATCAACACTATCTAGCAAATGTTGGAGCTGATGGAGGGTGTGCCTGGCTTACACCTCATGGTGTGCTGTAGATGGATGGTAGAGCCTGAGGTGACTGGATGGATGGCGAGAACGCGCACTGGAGATGGTTGCTATAAAGACAATAAAGCTGAAATTAGCAGGTACATAGAAATGGAAAGGAAAATGGAATTCAAGTTTTGGCTAGACGAAAACTTACACTGAGGCGCTAGACAGCCCAATCATAATATAACAGTCACTAAAATGTTTTGGATTCATCATGACGTGGAATGAACCGGAAAGCCAAAGCAAATCTTACAAACCCCAATATTTCGATTTTGCTTTAAGATCGCGGGCATTGTGTATAACCTTGTTATGTTCAAGCAGCCGTAGGACATCCAGAGTGTAACATGTGTACGTGCAGAGTTCGGCTTAATGTCAAGCTGCGTTGCCACAGCACTGTTACTTCTGCCAAGCCAATCCAGTTTCTCGGAAATGCGTCAGCACGTTGGGGGTGCAACAAATTGCTCGGTTGATATCCTAATTAGCCCGATAAGATTATATTGCGCCAGCGTAATTATTTTCTTACGTTTTTGTCAAAGTTACTTACTTATATCTCTACTTACCTGTGTTAGTATGCACGAAATTGATTCATGCGAATATGCATGAGCATGTTTCAAAGGTCAGGCAACAGTTATGGTCAAGTCACATAGTGTTTGCTCGGGATTAGTTCAAATTGGCTCCACAGCTGTATCAGTCGCGCTTTAAACAGACAATTTAGCCAACAGATTGCGAATGATGCGGGCTCTGAGCCATACTTTGTATGTTTCCCAACAGACACACAGCGAGTCACGTAAACCATGAACTTGAATGCGAACAGAACCAACGGAACTCCCTCGCTTCTTCCACCATTTGATATCCGACAGACGAATTAATTCCGTCCCCTGTGATCCGACACACACAGAGCACGATTAAGCCAACCTAAATTATTCAATGCTACATGTTGCTCCAAGGTAATAACTTGCTTGCGTGAACCTAGCATTCACTCGGGCCCACCATGGTCGCGGATAACCCGGTGCCATTGCATACTAGAAATGGTCCGTAGACAACGGCAACTCAGACCCTAAGTCTGTCCCTTCCATTCGGCAGAACGGCCCTATCTATGGCCTCGTATAGTTTGTGTTTCAAACAGAGAGGAATCCCCCTACGATGCAACAGATGTTGCAAATGCAGGAGTGCATTTCTATCTCGTACGGCGTCTGAGAAAACGACGACAATCACACGTCAGTTATTCAACTGGTAAAATAGATTTGTCAAATTCTTCCAGTCGGTTGTCACAACGATAGCAACTTGTCAAGCATCTGGTGGTCTAGCAAAGCCCTTTTCATACAGATGGTAGGAAACCCGTACCAAAAGACGGGCCAATTCAGAGAATTTGTTCATGGTTGAATGTGCCACCTTATTATTTTAAGCACTAGTATTGTGGTGGATTGAAGGGAACGAAAAATACGAACGAAGCCCCCACAGCCCCCCCCCCCCCCCCCCCCCCCCCCCCCCCCCCCCCCCCCCCACCCCCCCCCCCCCCCCCCCCCCCCCCCCCCCCCCCCCCCCACCCCCCCCCCCCCCCCTCCCCCCCCCCCCCCCCCCCCCCCCCACCCCCCCCCCCCCCCCCTCCCCCCCCCCCCCCCCCCCCCCCCCCCCCCCCCCCCCCCCCCCCCCCCCCCCCCCCCCCCCCCCCCCCCCCCCCCCCCCCCCCCCCCCCCCCCCCCCCCCCCCCCCCCCCCCCCCCCCCCCCCCCCCCCCCCCCCCCCCCCCCCCCCCCCCCCCCCCCCCCCCCCCCCCCCCCCCCCCCCCCCCCCCCCCCCCCCCCCCCCCCCCCCCCCCCCCCCCCCCCCCCCCCCCCCCCCCCCCCCCCCCCCCCCCCCCCCCCCCCCCCCCCCCCCCCCCCCCTCCCCCCCCCCCCCCCCCCCCCCCCCCCCCCCCCCCCCCCCCCCCCCCCCCCCCCCCCCCCCCCCCCCCCCCCCCCCTCCCCCCCCCCCCCCCCCCCCCCCCCCCCCCCCCCCCCCCCCCCCCCCCCCCCCCCCCCCCCCCCCCCCCCCCCCCCCCCCCCCCCCCCCCCCCCCCCCCCCCCCCCCCCCCCCCCCCCCCCCCCCCCCCCCCCCCCCCCCCCCCCCCCCCCCCCCCCCCCCCCCCCCCCCCCCCCCCCCCCCCCCCCCCCCCCCCCCCCCCCCCCCCCCCCCCCCCCCCCCCCCCCCCCCCCCCCCCCCCCCCCCCCCCCCCCCCCCCCCCCCCCCCCCCCCCCCCCCCCCCCCCCCCCCCCCCCCCCCCCCCCCCCCCCCCCCCCCCCCCCCCCCCCCCCCCCCCCCCCCCCCCCCCCCCCCCCCCCCCCCCCCCCCCCCCCCCCCCCCCCCCCCCCGCCCCCCCCCCCCCCCCCCACCCCCCCCCCCCCCCCCCCCCCCCCCCCCCCCCCCCCCCCCCCCCCCCCTCCCCCCCCCCCCCCCCCCCCCCCCCCCCCCCCCCCCCCCCCCCACCCCCCCCCCCCCCCCCCCCCCCCCCCCCCCCCCCCCCCCCCCCCCCCCCCCCCCCCCCCCCCCCCCCCCCCCCCCCCCCCCCCCCCCCCCCCCCCCCCCCCCCCCCACCCCCCCCCCCCCCCCCCCCCCCCCCCCCCCCCCCCCCCCCCCCCCCCCCCCCCCCCCCCCCCCCCCCCCCCCCCCCCCCCCCCCCCCCCCCCCCCCCCCCCCCCCCCCCCCCCCCCCCCCCCCCCCCCCCACTGCGAATATCGAGTTTCAGATTGGTTCGAAAGTGAAGTACAGGGACCATCAACGCTATCCCAATTGCGGCCCAGGGGAGAGGAAACTCCTAGCGAAGTGGAAAGGACCGTACGAGGTAATTGACCGGCGAGGCCCAGTGTATACAATCGCTCGGCAAGGTGAATCGCGGAGGGTGAATGCCAGCGAGCTGAGGAAGTGGTACGAATTGGAGGAGGAAACACGCTCGTACAGTGAACATCCCCGGCGGTCAGAAAGACTCCGACGGAAGGCAGCTGTCGCGAATCTTTTGGAGGGGGAGGAGTGTGGTGGATTGAAGGTAGATACTACTGAAACGGATATAAGTAGTGTGATGCAAGCTGACACACCAACAGCGAGCCTTGCCGACTTCCCCAAAGTTGAAGATGACCTCAGGATTCCAGTTCCATGTGCACGAGGAGTAAACACAGAGAGGAGCACCAGTTGGGAAACACTCTATGGAAATCACGGATGAGCGGAGCGGATGCCTCCAAAGTAACTGTATGGAAATCACGCAGATGAGCGGACGCATCCAATGTATGAACGAACACACCTAGTATAAACCACTTTAGTAATAAACAATTACCGCCTGCCACGGGTTCTTACAGTATGACATCGTCCGCTCAATCCATATCAAATTTTTTTCACCAAGCGACGTTACGCTGCGTGATTTCGTAAGGGAACCTTCCTTGATGGAACCCACAGTAAAAGTTGTGAAAACTTAAAGTGTTGGGCAAGTTAAAATGCTAGCATTTAATGGGTCGTACAGGATGGTCTAGATGCATACACGAAAATCTGCGAAGCAGATGGAAATTGGGCATTGTCTGCCCGAAAACACTGCACAAGCACCACGCGTTTCGATGTTATTACATCTCATCAGGCGGAGATAGCAGGCCTCGGACCCGCGATCATTGGAATAGTAGCCGAAACCTCTACCCCTTTGGCTACCGAGTCACGACGGTCAACGCTTGGCACAACCGTGAATGACTGATTGCAGGGTCAATTTTGGACTTCACGTTGTTTTTTGAATTGCGATGCAAAATCTGCGCTCTGGTGACCTCATCAAGTGTACACAATAAGAATCATAAGCACATCTGATTAAAGTTTGGAACACGTCGATTAGTTGTTTTATGTAGGCGCCTAACGAACACGTCGTAAGAGTAGATGTAAATAGTGCAATGCATCATCAAGACGTGTTTGAAAGATTCTTACTTCTCGACAGAAACAACCTAAGCGGCGAGGGCTTTCCGTAAACACATACAAAGGGAGTAGAGATTCAGATGGAGGTCCCAAGCGAACACCAAATGTAAACGGTGCGAGATACAGAAATTCAATATATACCCTGGTGTAGCTTGTGTTGTTCTAGTAAGAACCTACAGAGTACTCATATTTTTGATGGGAACACTTCAGCGCACGTACAACTCAGAGGATGGTGCAATCAACTGGATCGAATGCAACCCAGCGCTCAAGAAGCGCAGCCATTTTTGCCTTTAGTACGTGTGACACAGCTCCAGAACTTACCACAAATTGAAAATATAGCATGTGTAGCTAATGCCAGATAGAGGTAGCACTGCACTTCACTCCGTCACGATTAACACTTCGTAGTAATGTAATGGAGGTGAAGTGACGGAAGTAAATTTGTCGGCTTGTACATGACAACTTGATAGCCAAATGGAAAATCTTTTCCTAATGTTTGTCGATGCTGTAATTGAACAGCGCGTGTGACGTTCATTTAGTATTCGCACTTCATTACTCAAGCAACGAAAAAGCTTAGGCCATTATTCTCTTATTTAGCGAAAAGCCAACTTTGCAAGCCTGGTTGCTGTTATAGTCGAATAAAGCGAAAGGGAGGCGAAAATCTTGCAGAACTTAACATTTCATATTGTATCGACCGTACGTAGAAAATAAAAACAACCTATTGCTGTTGACAGGTAAAGTATAACCGAAAAAAATTGCTGAGAGAGGTCCAGGAGAAATATGAGTTTAAATCACAGCTGTCCTCCACCCCAATCCCTCCACCATGGTTCTACCATAGCCGTCCTACCCGCGATCGTATGACGTGCGGAAGCAACACACAAACTACGACGAACCTGACAATTGGCAGCCGATCAGCAGCCGACGGTGAGGTGTGACTAACCAACAAAACGAGTCAATGGCCATTCGGTCATCATAGGTACAACATTTGAAACCCGAACCAAAGACTTTTGCCTTCAGCACACATATGTTAGGGTAGTAAAAGCAGGACTGGCATGTCCCCACAGCACTAGCCGTTACCATCCGACGTGCGTCGGGGACTGTAGGACCGAAATTGAGAAATATAATTGGACGTCGGATTCACTTTGGTTTTGTCTTAAGCATACGGCCATTCCACTCGTACTATATGTACTTTCATTAACCCAGAACTACGAGAGCCTAGCCGCCGAAACTGCAAGTGATTTAAATGCGAAGATTGTTTCGCTCTAAAAAACAATAGCACGGCTTGCATGCCATCGTTCGCTCCCAATTACTACCTCGAAACCAAGCAAAAAGGCCGGACGTTCCCACGGACTTTCAGTAGCAGAAACCTGAGGAACCAAAAACCAACTCATCAACGTAAAAAATCGAAGCATGCCCGACCAAACCATCCACAGCAGCTTGTCCAGTGTATTAAATGCTGCAGCAGCGGTAGTATGTACACTTCCGACTAGCCGACGAAAACCGAACCTTTCTACAGACCGATCCACTTATACAACCGTTGCTGCTCAAACTATTCAAAGTGCAACTTCAGTGGGCTCACATAGTACAACCATAACACGCGTCAAGGACCAGGTTCAACTTACAGAGACGTCACCAAAGCCTTCTATAGATGTGCCACCCACATCACCCAAGACCAGGAAGAAACACTATGCCCTGGAGTTCATTAGCAACATTGTTTCTGATTCTAAAGCGTACTTCTTAAGGGGTAAACAGCGGAAGAAATTGAAGCAGTGGCATTTTTTGCGGTCAAAGCGGAGTTAGGGCCAGGTCGGCTAACTTAATGCGCATCAATAGACCTTCAAACTCGATGTGCTGCGTGAACTCCCGGCTAATATGAGTAACCTTTGGATTTACAGATGACATCGACACGATGATTTTGTCAGCATACTGCCTGCGGAAAATGACAATGGAATACCCATATTTCCGGTTGTTTTATGAAGCACACGCCATAGGAACAAATAATTCAAACCACTCCTGGCTTCTAGTGACTAAGCAGCCCATAAGCGTGACCGGGAATAAAGACGGTAGAACAGTGAAGCTATCCGTGTTGGTGACGCAATACTTCAGTCGAGTACACGGTTTCCCGTGTCGCCTCATTAAAAGCAGTGACCCGAGGCTGCTAAAATCCATGGTTAAGTCACAGCAGATGTCGTTGGAAATAATCCGCAGCTGGTAGCTACTACGTAGCACACTAGTTTTGCAACTACGATTGTAGGCAGCCGTTAAGGAACCACAGCCACTCGCTGTCCTCGCGGAAACAACCTTCCTCGCGACTCAATATAACCACAACAACTATGCAGAAAACTGCACGTTAAGCCCGGTAGCTATAGTAAAATTTCCCGAAAGACCTCATACCGCAGGTGCGTGTAAGACCAAAAACAAATTGCATTCCTATCGAGATGTAATAAAGCACCAAAAACGATTAGTTACTCTAGTCTCATTAGTTACACAAATTTACCTTCACATATTTTGTAGGGATGTGAATACAGCATATTTTATCTCGCTTTTAAACACTTCCATTACCGCCGATTTTGTAAAACTTGTTTAAATAACTACGAATTTTGTATGCACACCTTCGGTACTCTCGCATCGTGTTGGTCTTTGCAATATCTTGTTAGATGTTTGCGTTGTGCGCCAAACAACACTTCGACCCCGTTTTCTCATTTTAGTGCGACTGGCGACTACAGATCAAAACGTCAGCTCACAGCAACAGAATGTCGAGAAGTGTAGGAATCGTTACCGTTGTTAGACTATACCTACTTCCTTCGTCCTCCTCTACTTGTGTTTGAACTTGTAATAGCGCCGTCCTCCCCCGTGTCCCTTTCTCCTTTACCTCCTGTGTGCGCCAGTAAATTCTCCCACTTCTTGTACTATTGTCACTGTCTCGTGTAACTGTTTCGCTACGTCCTTACGTTCCGCCATCTCTACGGTTTATTGAAATTGAACCTGTCTTTCCTTTTCCTAAGATCACCACGCAATCTACAATGTCGTCATATGTCATTGCACATTTGCTTACACACGTAGCTTCTGAAGCCGTTGACATCATTGACCCTATGTCGACTAAACCACCTTGTAATATGCAAAGTAGCCATATTAAAACGCAGTACTACCTCCGAAGAAGCACGCCTAAAACGGCCGCCCTCTGGAGCCGAGCTTGACAATCGTACACCATCTTAGCTTGTACGACACATGAGGTCACTTGTCGGTTCCTCAATCTTAAATGATTCCATCCTTCGCGGACTTTGGAGTAAGTGCTTTCCAGCAAACACGAAGGCGACCCTAGCAGTTTTGGCTGATGACCTGCCACTGAATAAGTTAGCTGAAGTGGTCGACAAAGTGCACGAACTTTTTTAATTACGCTGTGTATCACGTGGCCGAGGCATCCACTGCAAGCGCTTCGGTGAGTGCCACGCTCAACTCCATTAATGAGAAACTCGCAACTTTGAGCTTAGTATTTCTCAGCTTAGACGTGATCAAATGCGAAACCGAAGATGCTTTTCCAGAAACAGGTTTCACAGTGACTCCCGTTGACGATCATCTCGCCCGTACTGTTACTTCTACTAGAACTTTGATGACGCTGCACGAAACTGCTGTCCAGGGTGTACTCGCCAAAAGGTTTTTGCTAACTCCAAATTGCGAAACCACAAAGCCAACCAGTAATGGCGACCGTTGCCGCCGGCCAATTTATCAGTTGCCTGCAGTAAGTAGTCATTTCCACAGCCAAACCACCTTATGGTTGGCGCGGAGGTAGACGTTAAACACCCTTCCTTAGGAAAACGTTCTCTGCAGCCGGCTGGA